GAGGAGAGCTGGGAGAGTATAGATAGCAATCAAGCTGTTCCTGACAGCATCTCCTGAAAAAAAAATGATCCAAATAATTCAGCTTTAACTGGGTATGGGCATAATCTTGCATTCTTCAAACCACAGCTTTCATATTCAGCTTGGGAACTTTGTCGAGGATTCAAGAATTGACACCACAGAAGTAATTTATTTTATTATCCTGATCATTTCATATTTGCTAAGGGCTGGATTCTGCCCCCGTATGCATATGCTTCCTCTGAAGTCAGTGGGAGTTGAGCACATTTTTAGCAGCTGGCAAAATTCGGTCCTATATTTATATTTGTTAAATTTGCTTCCAGCACCCGATGCGGAATTGGTTCGGAGGGCTGTTAAAAAATGAAAAAGACCAGCGGTATCAGAGTCTTGATTTGCATTTAGGTATCAGTTGTACGTGGGGCCCGGTTCATTCAAGCTGTGCAGACATTTTAGATTAATCACTGGTGGGTACAGTCTCTCTCTGCCTCGCATAACTCCCATTAACGTTAATGTGGGCATTGAGAAGAAAAATCTTCCCTTCATAAAAATAAGCGCCCAACATCTGTTTATATTTATTTCCCTGCCTACACTTTTTTGCCTGCAGCGCAGTCTGTGGCTGCAGACTTAAAAAAACTCAGCCCGCCTTCCCTCGGAAGGTTTCGTGGACTGAGAAGTGACGAGAAACACTCGGTGTTCAGGTCGAGGGGACGCTCACTGGCGTGTAAAGCACGTGCATCTCCAGACAAACAAAGAGGAGGATGGTTAACGAAATCTGAAACGTTCGGATTACGCTTGGGGAATTCGGTTTTTTTTTTTGGAAACGCTGCTCTGACTTTTTTGGTGATTATCCCGGAGCAAATCTGGGAAAATAACAGCAGAGAGAACTCTGCATTACCTCAGTCGTGGGTCAGGAGGAGACTGAGATGCTGCCATGAATCACTCACCAGTAATGGTGGATACCACCCATTATCTTGATTTAGCAGATAAGTGAGACCAGATGGTTTGCAACAGTGCTGTGTGAACATCTGATGGATTTAAAGAACTTCTGCAGGCTTCCCTGTTATTTTGTGTATCGGGTGTTTGGTTACACAACAGTATGTGAACTTGACATCCAAAGCGAGACCTAATCGGGCGATACGTGCGCAATTAAAACTCCTGTGCCAAAAAGAACGTTGCTCCACAACTGTTCCCGCGGTTTCATTGGCTTTGGTTGCATGGAAAGGTCTCCCTGCAGTGGGTGGTGTGGGAAGAACAGAGAAAAGAGACAGTTTGATCTTCTGTAGCCTCGCTGGAGTTGAAATAGATTGTCCTCAGGTCTGCAGCCTGATGTTTTTAAGCACAGCAGATTGCACACAGTATGTATTTTAAAACAAAGCCATTAAATCCCACCATCCAACTGGGTATGTTGTAGCAAAACAAAGGTGGTGGTAGTAATTCTGCTGTCAAGTGAAACCAGATTTTAACATCGCAGCCGGCTCGTGCTGCATCCTACCAGCAGCCCTGGTTCCTGTAATAGCTGTGAAACGAAGAAAAACCCGCCATAAAGAGAGAAGAAGAGGTGAGATGAAGATCTGAAGTGTGCCAGGAGGTGACACTGAAAGTCCCTGCTTTTTCATGCATCTCGGTGGGAAGTGAATGCCTCGAGTCCCTTTCTTCACCCAGCTGCTCCATGGCACCTGGGTTTCGTTCCTCTTTTTCGTGACAAGGCGGTTTATGATGTGCTCTTAGATGCTCTTCTTAGAAAAGTTCCCTTTAAGAGGACTTATTCTTAGCAGTCTGTTAAGCAGGCTGAAGAACACCAGGACTGGGAATGTTGGGAATAATTCGCTTCTCTTCATCTCCCACCCCGAGCTGTGAAAAGCCGCTCGCAGGCCACGCGAAGTCCTTGGTGTCCCGCTGGGGCGCCTGTGGCACTCAGCTCTGCTGGTCCAGCTTGTCCAGGAGCTTCTGTTGTAACAGCTCCTTCCCTGCTCTGGCTGTCACAGCTCCAGAGATGGCTGTGCATCCATAGATTAATGCTGATTTCCCGGAGGCGTCGCAGAGGAGTCGTGCGATGCGATACTTCGATAGCACGAACGGCGGGGGCGGTGGAGTTCCCGTGTCATAATATTTACTTTGGAAAAACCAAGGGTGGCCTTTTGATCTGAATTCTGTTAATTAGCTGGGCTCACTGAAAGGGAGCCCAAGGCAGAGGGGCAGGAGTGGCAGTGGAATCCCCAAGGCTGGTGGTCACACCGTCCCTTATCGAGCTCAGCGGTTCATTCTCAATAAAAATCGCCCCGTGATCACGATGTGCTGCCACGGTGTTAATAACAGCAGTCTCATTTCCAGGGCTACGAAATCCCTGTCCACGAGATGCATTTGTTAGCACACATTCTGCATTTCAGCAGCCACTAGGGGAAAAAAAGGTGTAGCAGCTTTAGATGTATGAGCTGAAGGGAGTGAGTAAGATGTTTATGATTGTAGAGAAGGTGTTTATAATTGGAGAGAAGGTGCTCATAAAAGAAGAGAATGAAAACCTTCACTGACACTGATGAAGGGATGCTGATTTTTACCATTTCAGAACGCAGCTCTTCTGTACTTTGATTGCAAGGCATTACAGTGCAGGGAAGTAACTTGGAGGGGGTATGACACTCCAGGGTAAAGACCAGCAATGATACTGTGTGGAGATACCATTTCTAGGAGTCTTAAATGTGTTTTACAGTTGACATAACTCCTCTCGGGCCACAGCTAATGAATATGTTAATTAAGTTAATGGAGTCTCTGTAGTATTTGTAAAAGCCCCGGGGATAATATGTATCTAACAGGGATGATTAAGCAGTGTCCAGGGATAATTGTTTTCCATCAGAGGCAAGGAAATTGTCCTGATTCCTCCTTCAGTGTTGACAGAGTTCTCCAGGAAAGCCCCCTTGAGCCTCTTTACATGTGAAATATGGTGATTCCTGTGTTCCCCGTGCTTGTGTGGCTCTCAGAGATGCAGCCAGTGGAGTGGAAAGCGCTCTGCCATCATTTGGGCACTCCAGCTCGCACAGTCAGCCTGATAATTGCCTTTTTTTTTTTTTTTTTTTTTTTTTTTTTTTTTTTTTTTTTTTTTTTTTTTTTTTTTTTTTTTGGTAAGCTTTTTTATATTTTTGCCTGGTTTTTAAGGGAATAAGGCTTATGTGTCTGCCCTTTAATACCTTGAGGGACTCCTGGCTGATTTCCCCTTCTCTCTCAGCTCTCCTAATTGCTTTCTCCCAAGCCAAGCGTGGCCACCCCTGGACAGGGTGGGTTTGCCCTCCCCTGGCACCATCCACATCTGCCACCAGTGTGACTGACCCTGCCTTCCTTTCATTGCTGAGTGGCTTAATTTTTTTAAGATGCTTCCCCAAGCCCAGCTCAGCCTGCAGAGCAGACAGGGGAGTTTTTGGGAACACCCTTCCCGGCGCCAGCCTGGTCTTGGGCTGTCTGAGAGCACTTGGGAAGCCTCAGCCTCCTCCTGCTGAGAGGCTCCCTCTGGTCTCCAGTGCCAGCCTGTGCCAGTCCCTTGTTGTTACTGCCAGCAATGGAGTGGCAGATACACCCAGAAATGCTATAATTCGAGGCAGAAGTCAGGGAGGGGGCAGCCAATTCAAGACATTCCCTCCCCTTCTTGTTCCCCGACCTCCCCGTGTCATCTCAGAGCTGGAGCGCTGCCTCTCCACCCCTCTGTGCTTGTGCATAGCCCAGAAAATGACCCCCCCCCTTACATCTGATGGCTCATTGACACGATTTTTAGGGAATGTTGAGGGAGTCCCACCTAAATCTGGGCTCTCCATAACACCCTGCAGCAGTGGGGAAGCCACAGCAGCCCTTGGTGGCCCTTCTGCCCTGTGCACATCGGTGCCTGGGCAGAGCTCAGCTCTGCCTGTTGCCATCCAGTTCACAGCTTTGTGTCTCAAATGGATGATTGTGCATATCCTGAGACTTTTTGTTGTTGTTGGTTGTGGAAATCTCTGGTTATTTAGCACCTCGTACAACCCAATTACATGAAATTTTTGCATGTGGGTGAATTTTTATTTTTTTTTTCCCCCCTCAGGCTCGTGGAAGAAAAATGTTCTTTTCTTTCTCACTTGTGTTCTAGGGCGGTCTGACTGTGACTGTCTTTCCTAACTCTGCCTCTGTGCCTTTCACAGACTTTGGATTGAGCAACTGTGCAGGCATCCTGGGTTATTCTGATCCCTTCAGCACCCAGTGTGGGAGCCCAGCATATGCAGCCCCTGAACTTCTGGCAAGGAAGAAATACGGGCCCAAAATAGACGTTTGGTCCATGTGAGTTACTTCTCTACTTCATAATTGTCATTGCAATGAGCAGGGGACACTTTCAGTTCCATCAGGGTGCTCAGAGCCCCATCCAACCTCACCTTGAGCATTTCCAGAGATGGGGCATCCAATAACGTGATAGTGTCAGGCCTTAAAGATGAAATACAGTCTCTAAACACTAAGATTAATTTTTTTTTTCCTTGTTCCTGATCATTTTGGTTTCCTTTTCTCCCTCTTTTCTCTTAGTGGGGTGAACATGTATGCCATGTTGACTGGAACCTTGCCTTTCACCGTGGAGCCCTTCAGCTTGAGAGCCTTGTACCAGAAAATGGTGGACAAAGAGATGAACCCTTTCCCCACCCAGCTCTCTTCAGGTAATCAGAGGGAGCGTGCTGGGACCTGGTCAGAGCCATTGCAAGGAATGATGGTGGCTCCTGCTGCCAGTGTGTTGTGCTAGTTGGGAAAAGCAGCTCCTTTCATTTCAGCCTCTGAGAGAAGTGCAGGAATTGCTGTAGTGGAACTCCTTTTGGTCTTCCTTTTCTCCCTGTTTTCTCTTCTGTGTGCCAGCTGCAGAAGCACCGGGTTGTGCTGGACGTGAGAGAAGGGACAAGCCTGTGAAGTTCTGTGAAACCACCTTTGTAGAGCAGTGGGTCAGTTTTGCACACTCAGATTTTAGCGTACGGATGGACAGCCAGATCATTTCGGAGTAAGGGATTCCTGGGCATTATCATGACCAGGTTTGAGTGATAAACCACCTCAAATGACCTCACATTTATCATGGAGTCGTAATGACATGCTCTCAGGAAGCTATTTTGGGATGGTGACCTGAGACAACCTCTGTGTGTTCACAAAATGCGAAATTGTTGATGTATTAGCACAAGAAATATTAATTCCTGCTTCAGAGCCGTGTCACTAGGCAACAGAATCATTTTCCAGCTTGCAGCAAGACCACTGTCAGCATTTGGAACAAGCTCTGTTCGCCAGTTGGGTTTTATTTTCGTGTGCCAAATTGGTGGAGAGCTTCTGTTCTCCTTCCCTGGCAGCCTCTTTGCAAAGGGCCACTCAGTAAAATGAAAAGATTGCAAGTGCAAAAAGGGCAGCCAAGGAAGGAAACTGTTGTTACAGGTTGTGAGAGAAAGCCCTCAGGAGTTGTGTCACGAGATGAATTCTCCAAGCACAGATTTACCCGTGGAAGAGGTGGATGGGGAAGGGTTTTATCACCTGGGTTATCCCTGCCTAACCTGTTGCTCCTTGTTCACTCAGCTCCTGCATGAAGGACCCTTTTCCTGCCAGCAGTTCATATTCTGGCATATTGTAAAGTGGAGGGTTTACAAGTGAGCTGGGAGGCTGCAAGTTTCTGCTTGGTTTTTTTTTGTTTTGTTTTGTTTTGTTTCGGTTTTTTGTTTGGTTGGGGTTTGTTGGGGTTGGGTTTGTTTGGTTGTTGTGGGTTTTTTTTGCTGTGTGTTTGACTCAATTAGGGTGTTTGGAATTTCCACTCCCGTTAGGATTCACTTGCACAAAATGGCTGTTTTAATGTTCTAGCGCAGGCTTTAAAGCCCCAATGTGTAAATTAAAAGAAAGATTGCACTGACTGCTTCCTGCTGCACTTGTCTAGATGCCAAGTCCTTCATCAGTTGCAAGGTTACCTCTGAATTCAGGGACTTGCATGGTATAGTCAGCATTTTCCAAGTTTGGCAAGAAATGTACCTCCTAGACTGAGGTAAATTGTTTTACCAATGAAGAGCAGTTACATGATGGCTTGTGGAGTGTCTTTGAACCCATGGACTGTTTCCCCAGTCGTCGTTTACTTCCCATTCTCTTTAAGTGGGAGATTGCACTGACTTCACTGGGACAGCTCAAGCCTGAACCACCCCGGAAAGGCCTGGGCAAACACTGGGTAGCAAAAAAGATAATGTTACTTTTGACAGGCTTCATTTTACTGTTTCATTCAGCCTCCCATTTTTAGTGGAGATGAGATTTTTCTCACCTCTCTGTGGCATTTGTGGAGCTCACTGGACACTGGTCTCCAGGGAAAGCAGTATTTTGTTTATCCTGTGAGAACTTGGGAGAGATGATGGCAAATTAATGGACTAGATTTAAGCATGTTAACCTTTCCTCACAGGGAACAAAGGTACACATCAGTTCCTGATCTGAGCCAGTGGCCTCTCACGTTCACTGACGCCGCACACTCTGATTTAAGATGACATTTGTTCCTGCCACCATTAAGCTTTGGGTCAGTGGGTGCAAACTCTGCTCCTCTGCTCTCTGAATTGTAGTGCTCATTAACTTCTTAGGTTTATGGACCTTTTGCTCTAATCAGGTTTTATTATATGTATTTTATATATATAAATTAACTATATAGAGAGAGTTTTTGCAGGAGTCTGTTTTGCTTGTTCAGTACATTGTCTTTCAATATTTCTTTTCACAGTTACTGAACATGCAGCCCCCTCATGTAATAGTCAGTCTTATCACTGAGCAATAAAACACTTTTTTGTGTTGGTTAGAATATTGGGTGACCATGAGCAGCCTGTGTAGCGACGGGGGAAGTTTGGAGTTACTGTTTGATTTTTCCCCACTTAGGAAACCATTTTTCACTTAAGCTCCCTAAAACAACACAGCCACCTGGTTATTGATTTTGGGTGGGCAGAGGTCAGTCGGGAGGGAGGTTGGTATTCACCCCGCACACATTCCTTTCCTTCCCTCTTCCGTATGCTCACGTTCTTCCTTCTGGAATTCAGCAGAGATGAGAAAAGCCATTGTTTGTTTGTGCCCGTAGTTTGGAGGAGGGATTTTATTAGGTGGGGCTTGTGGAATGACCTTGCTGCTTTCTCTCCAGAGGTGTTTTTAAGCCATACCTGCGTCCCCGGTTACGACCAGGCACAGCCTCCTGGAGAGGGAATGAGACACTGAGCTGGTCTCAGTCATGACAGGGAACATGTTTGCTCATGTTTGCTCCCTGGGGCGCTAATTTTGGCTGATCTGGGAAAGGCTTCTCTCCTCCTTGTACCATCTGACAGCTCAAATCAGCCCAAGCCAGCACAGTTACTCATCCTCCACCATGTTTCCCGGGTCCGGGGAGCTTCCAGGGGGGAACTTCCCTCCAGAATTAGTTTGTCCCAGTCTGAATCTGTTATCTGTGGTGCCTCACAAGCTTCATTTAATTAGTCTGCCTTTTGGGTGGTGAAGTAAGACTTTTAAGGACACATCAGGTGATTTGGGGGGCTGAGCGTGGTGGTGGTGGTGATGATGATGATGATGGAGGAGGAGGGTGTTGGCTTGGGAAGGGGGGATTTGTTTTGCTCTGAGCCCATGGGATGTGTGTGGTTTCTAACACAGAGATAAGGGAGCTACTGGAGCGAGAGGAGATGAAGTGGAAGAACAAGGGGTTTGTTGTTTGCTGTAATGGGGATTTCCGTGCCCAGGAGGACGAGGAGGGGGCACTCTGGGCACGAAGGGAACAGCTTCCAGCGAGTTTATGAACTTGGATGTAGACTTTTCCTGCTGCTTTTCTGCAATATTGTTGTTGTAGGAAAAGAGCAAAAATGTTGGGTATTATTCAAATGCCTCTGGAAGCTGAAGGTTCAGCACCTGAGACCAAAATGAAAATGAATTTTGATGTTCTCTTTTAATTGGGCTAAAACCTTCTGCAGCTGATTGTAGGCTGGATGGAAGCCAGGAGAGAATTTGACCTCGTAATGTCAAAGGGAGCCGAATTTGCCATGTCTTCCTTCCTGGCTCTGCATCCCTCCCCTCCCCTCTGGTCCATCTCCTCTTACCTTAAACACAGTGATTTCTGTCTGACCTTGCTCCAGTTCTTGCCCTCATGAGGAAATCGAGTGTTGTCACACCTGCTTTGAAACTTCAAACAAGCTCTGAGACAAAAAACCCTCTTTTTCTCCTCTCCTTTTATGACTCCATAAATCACTGTGACTGTAAATCACTGTTTATTTTACTTACTAATCCCTTATCAGTACTTCCATTTTCCCAAGGACATCAGAGCACACCGTAAGGAAAACATCGCTTTTTAGTACACTCTTGGCCAGGCTACGCACCTGTAGTAACTCCACTGCTGTGTAAGTGATAAAGCAGATGGCACAGCTATTGTTTGGGCTTTTTCCTTGCTTTCTTCACAGCTGCCATCAACTTCCTACGGTCTCTGCTGGAGCCAGACCCCGCAAAGAGACCAAACATCCAGCAGGCCCTGGCAAATCGATGGCTCAACGAGAACTACCCTGGAAGAGCACCACCCAACGTCACCTACCCAAACAGGTACTGCCTGGAAGGGAGGAGAAAGCCCGCCAGGGTGTCTGTGAACATCGTGTGTGTGGAAATGTGAACAGGTCTGGGGCTTCAGCTCCGCTCCTGTGGCACCATCCCAGCGCGTTTTCTGGGATTGCTTTTGTGACTCCGTCGTGGAAGTTGTTAGGATTGAGGAAGTGTTGCTTGGAGTGGTCCAAAGCAATACCTTAAATTAGAAGCTGGCCTGCGGTGTATTATTTATTTGCAGGGTGGCCTGGGGTGCAGATCATGGCTCCATGGGAATGGGGGGATGTGTGACGGGCAGTTCTGATCTCCTTGTGATTCAGTGAAATCCAGGTTACCTTTCCTGCAGAGGCTCTGCCTTTTTGTGCTATATCCATGAGGCTCTGTGGATAAAGAGAAAAGAAAGGTCAGAGTTAAGTGATCCTGCCTCCTTGTTCACCTTGAACCTTGCTGAATACATGACTCAATGCAAGAAGAGAACAAATCTCATGGTCAGTCAAACATCCATCCAGGGAAAAAGAAAAAGCAGGAAAGATACTTGTGGTCCACTTTGGTGGTGTTAGAAATAATCTTGCTTGACTTTAAACATGTGCAGAGCTGCCACATGAGCCAGCCAGGCAAGGCTCTCCTTGCAGTCAGTGCCGAGAAACAAGGGCACTCTTTACATGAGGATTCATCTGCCTTCTCTTTGATTCTGCCTTAGGATGACTCTGTGCCCAGGAGACACCAGTTCCTCTCCTGTGACTGTAAATGGAGCCTCGGGCAACTCACTTGGAAATACAAGCCTGTGTTTGATCAGATAAAACCTCCTTGCTCTATCAAAGCCCTCCAGCTGTGCCTCACACACAGCCCGGTACCTGCAGGAGGTGCTGGCTCGCAGCTCAGGCAACACCGAGGCAAAGGCAGTGAATTAAAGCCTAATTTTGCTGCTTAAAATTTGATAGCGCTCCAGAATTTCTGTCCTGGCTTCGCTAAGAGGAGAGTCCCTCAGTGAAGATCATAATTTCCCCCCCCGCCAGAAACCAGATGTAGCTTGTAGGTGCGATGACTTTTATCTGAACGTCGGATCCACCGTCCTCCCCCCAAAAAGGATTTGGTGGTCACCAGCCAAACAAAGACACTCTTTGTGCCTTTGACCTGAGGAGAATCACAGGTTTTACACCCTCAAGGTTTATGCTGGGTGGGTGTTGAGCAGCTTGGGTGCCAGGGGGGAGCATCACCAGGGACCATCCGACAGGGCCTGGCAGCGCCCAGACCCCGCCTGGACACAATATGAAGGTGCAAAGAGTTGTTTCACAAGGAAGGTGAGCAGGCAGATCCATTCTCTTTGACATTCCTGCTGCAAATTTAAGGGCAGTTGAGTTAATTTGCCCAGTGTGGTGTTTGGCAAAAGGAGATGTGAGTGTCTGTGGTGCATTGGACTGTGCATGTGAACGTTGTGTGGTAAAGAAAGGGAAAACAAGTGTAAACTGAATGAGTCATTAAGCTAATGAAATCACTGTCATAATGAGCCCAATCAATCCACTAAATGTGGCATCTGTTAAGTCAATGTAAGTGTAACAGGGAGCTGGAGGGGTAATTTAATTCTCTGTCTGTTTGAGTCTTAGCTGCAGAAAAGAGGGAAAAAAGTACAGAAGTACTTTAATGTGCTTTCACAATTCTTCTGCATTTGTAGGTGTGTTTTCGTGCCTCTGTTTTTAATTCCTGGCTTGCAGTTGTCAGGCTTTTGTGAGGTTCCTTCCAGAGTTTGCTTAGTGCAGCGAGGTGGGCAGCTTCTTCCCTTCTTCCCTTCTTTCTTTCTCATCGCACTGATTTTTCTCATCATTTTGTCAGAAATCAGGAGAGAAGTAGATACTCCTCCTATCTGAACCCAGATTTCACTGGAAGCTGTAAAGGATAAAAGCCACAGAGATTCCTTCACTTCATTTTTTTTGTAATAACATTTGCTTTAGTTTCACGAGTTGATGCCCCAAGCTTTACCTACCCAGACTTTGTCGTGCTGGAGCTTTACGGGGGAAATAATCTGTAAAGTTTGAAATATTTAAATATGTGGCCTGACTCCTTTTGAGTTTGCCTCAGAAAGTACCACTGGAGTGGAATTCTGTGGAATTTCTCCCAAGTTTTTCTTAGTGTGCAGATGTGGATAAGGTGTGTTGAAACAGTGTGTGAAAAAAATCCACTGCTGAATTTGCAAAGAGTCAATTCCCCTTTTAATCAACACGGGAGAGGCTGTGTTGTGTTCTTGCACTATTCTGGGCTTAACACCCATTGTTCCAAAGACAGGAACGTGGTAGGAAAGGGAAGAACGTGGAGATAAGGTGGAAGAACGGCAAAAAACCTGCGTTTTCAGGAGAATATTCTCTCCCAGGCTTTTTATAAGCTGGCTTTTGTTAAAAAGAAATTCCCTGGAGGCAAGCAGAAATTTCCCGTTTTGCTGAGTGGAAATTGCTTGAATTTCTTTTGCTGTACAGATGTCTCGACGTGCAGTGGCCGAGATAAGTTTTGCTTTTGAACTTGAAAAAAAAAACCCCAACCCCGAGCATTTCTTTGGGGCAGAAAGACTGTTAACAAGCGAGGGGAACAAAGGGAAAGAGTTGTTTGAGATTTTCCAGACTGGTTTTTTTTTTTTTTTTTGATGTTAAACACTGGCTTACATCTTGCCTAAGCCCCGTAGATCAGACCCAGGCTGCTGTCTGGGCATTCCTCACAGCACAGGTGCACAGGAGAGGGGGGACAGCAGGGTAGGAGTGGGAAAGGTGGGAATGATCCTCTGGAAGGGGGAAGGCAGCTGGCAAAAATGCCCACAGCATAAGGTCCCCTGGGTTGCCTTAGCCAGATACTAGGCTTGGTATTAGGAGCAAGGAATATCCTTTAGGAGCCAAGTGAAACCCAGCATTTCTTTGGAGATGGATGGGAGCTGACAGATACATCTGGGACTCTGTCCAGCACACTTAGAGGTCTAAATAGGAGCGGAGTTCTTTGGAAAGTCTGGCTTTAACTTAGACTGAGATGATGCTTTGCCGTTTCCACTCCATTTCTCGACTTGGCCGAGCCTGTTACAGACTCTGTGGAAGTGCAGATACATAAACACGGCTTGGATGTGTGCTTTTAACTGACAGGGGTATAACAGCAGTGTTACCACTCTGAGAGCTGCTGCAATGACACTGCACATCCCCCTTTTCCAGCAGGAAAAATTCCCTCTCTACTCAGCGCATGGGACAGGTAAGGCGTGAGGCTGAGTGCCAGGGGTGTCTGACTGCAAGGAAAAGGACTTTTCAGGGACCTGTCTGGGTTGGATTTGACCTCTTTTCCTTCAAAACCAGGTGGATACTGTGATTCTGTGACAATCTTGATGGTCCCCATTGGTCGGGTGCAGGGTAACAAACGGCTCATCCTGAGCATCACGGTGCCGTCTCACACCAGGGATGGACACGGTGGGCAGAGTCCTGTTTGTTCAGCTCTCACAGCTTCCTGCAGTGCCAGTGATTCCCAAACAACCTGTCCTTTTAATGGGAAGAGAGAGATAATCACTCCCATGTCCCTGAGCCCGTCAGGCTGTGCCTGGTTCCCCCCCACCCCGAGGCTCCATCACCAGCAGGATGGTTCTGACGCCGGGATGGCTCCAACTCGGTGCTCTGCCTTCTCCTCCACCCTGTGCAGGATTCACCTGGAGGACCTCAGCCAGAGTGTCCTGCTCCACATGACCGAGAAGCTGGGCTACAAGAACAGCGATGTCATCAACACCGTGCTCTCCAACAGGGCCAGCCACACGCTCGCCATCTACTTCCTGCTCAATAAGAAGCTGGAGCGGTACCTGGCCAGCCTGAGGGTGAGCCCTGCTTCTTTCTGGTTCTCTCTGCATGACTGGCTGAGCAGGGGTGGGGGGGGAAAAAAGAGGGCTAAAAGTTTCCCTGCTTGCTGGGAAACTCAAGACTTCACTTGAGTTTTGGGGTGGGGTTTTTTTTCCCCCTAATTTTGTAGCCCGAAGGGGAGGTATTCCTTGCAAATTAATAACGTTATTCCGGGTAAGAATTCCCCAGGAATTGCTGATAGGCTTCTTGTGTCCCTGTTTCCATGGGAGATCCCCTCCTGCAGGGCATTTGCCCTGCAGAGCTTTATGTGCACATGGTGATTCTGTGACTGTGATGGGCTGTGTCCCTGTGCCGACGTGGCTCTGTTGTTTGAAATATCAGTAGCGCCACGTAACTTGATTCAGGAGATCAAGAAGAAGCTTGAGAGCTTATTAAGGTTTTATTTAGCTTTTAAGTGAAAACCTGGGTGAAAGTTTGACGTGATCTGACCTTCCTGCAAGTTGATGCTCCTCCACTGAATGCCAAGAGTGGATACAGCACATTTAGCAATAATTGAACATTATTTTTCTCTAATTAGCCCACATATTTTACTTTTCTGTGCTCTTCTCTCCACAGAAGGCCGAAGGCCAGGACAGTGTTTGCCACAAGAACCAGCTCTACCAGATAGAAAAATACAAGGCAAATAAAGACTCCTATGAGGTAAAGCTCATCAAAGCTTGTAGAGTGGTTTGAAAACAGATTGGATTTGAGGATCCTTGGTGATTGTGATCAAGGTGATGGGTTTGTGGACACGTGGAGGAAAAAAAAAAAGACCCGTGGTCATTCCTGTGCAGGACAAATAATTCCCTCAATTCCTTTTCAAAGGAGCTAATAGCAACCCCCTGGAGTGGAAGTGTAAAGGTGACTTTGAGGTTTTTTTGAAGCAATTAAAAGGTTTTAAGGCTCTGTTTAGCAAAATTATGTGAAGTTAATCATAGGGCTCCATAATTTCATTCTGGGGTGCAAGTTGCTGGTGTTACAGGATCAAAACTGAGTCTTCTTGAGACTCTCCTTGAATCTTAAGACCTTGGTGGTGTAGGGCAGAGAACTCTGCTCTCCAGCCTTTTTACCTGTGACTAGAGAAGGTATTTTTTATTAAACCGTGGCTGGATTTTTCTTCCCTGGCTGATTCTTTGCCAAGCACTAAAATTACAAGAGTAATCTGAGCTGTGCAAGTCTTCCCTGCCAACACAAAGAGCAGCATTCTTGGGGAGTCTGCCTGCTTCAAAAGCTACTCCTCAGCTCTGGATTGATGATCTAATTGCAGGGGCAGATTTGTGTCGTGGCTGGGTTTGTTTGTCACAAAGACTCCTTGCAAGACGAGCTGAGCTGCAAGCCGTGGAAATAGCAGGGCAAAGTACTTACTCTTTCCTTCCATAAATCAAAACCATCTTACTTAAAATGCATCAGCAGTGGGTAGACTCAATGAATATAATATTTCACAGTGCTCTGACAGCTTATTCAAGCTGTTGCAGAGCAGCCTTTCCCCTGGAAGCACAGGCAGGTACCGGGATGCTGCAGTGGAGCATCTCGCTGCTGCCTGGGCTGGATTCCTCCTCCTGCTGCTGCTGCTGCCACTTCTCTTTGCGGTGCCAGAGCCAGGGATGGCTCTGCCAGCCATCCAGGAATGGGCTCACAGCTTCTGTGCACCGACCCTGTGCAGAGGAGGCTGCAGCAGGGCCTGATATTTGATTTCCCCAAGGATAACTGGAAACCAACGGCAGTGCCGGTGCTTGGCCCCGGTTTGCTTTGTGGGCATGCTTAGGGATAAAACTCCTTCCAAAGCCTCTCCTGCACTCAGAGTTAGTCCCAGGGTAGCTATTTAGAGGATGAGGGGGTGTCATGTCTTTCTTGAAATAGTTACCAGGATGTACTCACAGTGCAGACACTGCAGGAACAATAACAGTCTGTTCTCTTTCTGCATGGGCACAGCTGAGGATAGAAGCGTTCAGGGCCAGCTTGGACAGGGCTTGGAGCAACCTGGTCTAGTGGAAGGTGTCCCTGCCCATGGCAGGGGGTGGAACTGGATGACCTTTAAGGTCTCTTCCACCCCAAACCAGTGATTCTACAATGTTTTCTGTTGCTTCAGCTGTATTTCCCCAAGGGGATTACGTGATTCTTACTCTACCAGGACAGGTGGAGCTGCACAGGGAGGGGAATGCAGCCCCTGGGGTGCTACTGCCATTTGTATCTAAGGTAGAATCTCTCCTAGAATGCCTTCATGCGGGTGGCAACGCAGCCCTGGCAGTGCCAGCTCATGCCACTGGCATCAGCGGCTGCCACCAGCACTCAGGGCCGGGGGACTTGTGAGCTCAGGGAGTTTCTTGGGCTGGAGAGAGAGTCCCCTTATCCCTCCCTGCCAATTCCAGAGTGGGAACTGGGAGGCACTGGTCCCCTGGCAGGCACTGCACAAGAGCAGAGCTGTTTGTTGCCATGGGAATAGCAGGGAGAGGGATGGGAGGGATGGTCAGTGGGCGGCTCCAGCTGATGACTGAGCTTCCTTCACTTCAGCGACGTGAAATAAGGACTTGGCCTCGGGCCGGGCCTGCCAGCAGCTGGGGCAGGCTGGGGGCATGGGGGCAGTGGTCATGCCAAGCCATTCTTCTCCACTGAGGTTTTATAGGGTGCTGGGAGCTGCTGTTGCAGGCTGGTTTCACTGGAGTGCTCAGCGTGGACAGGGAGGAGGGAGGCAGGCACGAGTCTGTGTCTCTCTCTCTCCATCTCTCTTTTAGTGGGATGAGTGGCTGGTCCCTCCAGAACACCCAGGGGAGCAGGCTGGGGGTACCTGCCTCCCCCCAGGGCAGCTGGGGGGGCTCAGACCCAGGGAATGTGCAGTTTTTAGGAGCTTGTGTCGCTGCCCTATCCCCATTTCAGACATGGCCAAGGCAAACACCCTTTATCTGCCTTTCAGATCCGTTGCTGGGACCAAGGGTAGGTTTGAGGGTCAAGGTCAGGACAGGAAATAGCAGAGGATGATGTAATTCCCGAACCTATCAAGTATAAAGTACCGGTACAACTCCTGCATTGTGGGGCAGCGCGACACGGCCAAGCAAACTCTTACAACTCCCCCGAGTGAAATCTTCCTTCCCTTTTAAAATATAATAGTGTGTGCCACTTGGGGAGTCTAGGATTCGGTCATTTCCCCCTCTCTCACAACCTTGGTCATTAAGGAGCAACGTTAATAGCTTTAAAAACACTTCCAAGACCATTTGCAGTGCTCATCCAGCGTGAACTAATTAATTGCTAACAGCGGATACAGTGAGTTTTCTTTGCTGTGGGTGCTTGAATTGGGTGGTGTGGCTGAGAAAACACCCCAGCAGGGTGAAGGCCACTGCCTGTATTGTGGCAGGAGGTTATTCACACAGCAATATTATTATTATTATTATGAATATTATTATTAATATCATCAGCAGCATTGCTGCTGTTACTCCTTCATCCTCTTTTTAAAAAAGTGCTGTACTCACAGTGACTTTTTAATGAGATGCAGCAAAACATGTTGCTTAAATGAGAATTATGACCACAGGAAAAAACCCAAACCAGCCAGAACAAAAGGCCCTCTGCTTTGGGAGGGACATTTCAAACTACACCACCCCACTCTGTTCCAGACAGGCAGGATACCCTTGGAGCCTTCGAGGGGTAGCAAAATAAAGCCACAAATTTGAAGCCTGATTTTTTAGATGTGAAATAAAGACTTCTGGCTCCCCCAGAAATCAGTGGCGAAGGGTGTTTTCACAGCTTGCTGAATCCAGAGATGGAAAGAAGAGGCAGTGAATTTTCGCTGTGAAACGGTGCTTTGAAAATTGGATCCTTTTTCTGAGTCCTACTCCCAGGTTCTGTTTTTCCTCTGTCACCCCTGGAGATCAAACCTATCTAGGATATGTGCTCTTGCAATCCCACCTTCAGCTCTTCCCCCTCATGACCTGGAGTTAGGGCTCAGGGAAAGGGTGGGCCAGGACTTTTCTCCTTTTCCATGTCTTGTGCAGTTGCAGAGATGTTGTAAAAACAAGGGCCATGTTCCTCCAGGTCTTGTCTGGAGGGAAAATAAATGATTTTTAAAGAGTTTAAACTGCTCTAAAGCTCGGCAGCTCACCTTTTTAAAATGCCAGAGGAAGTGGAATAAAGAGAAATCAAAGACCTTTTTTGGTGCTTAAATAGGGTATTTCACATATGGAGGAGCACACACCTGTATCTGCTCCCTCCAGTGAGGACAAAAGTCCTCTGAAGAGAAAACTTTCCTTTTCCTTTAATTTTCCAAACCCATCTTTCTCACTGCCCGGGTGCCAGAGCAGATGGAAGCCGTGAAATTGTGTCAGAGGAAAAACGAGACGTGGAAGATTTAAGTAATTCTGAGTTAGTCAGGATAAGTTCCTCGTAAATGTGAAGTTCTTAACCCAGCTTGGGTGAGCGGGAGTGCTTGTGCCTCGCTGAACCTTCCCTCGAGTAAACCCGACTGTTCTTGTTTGTTTTGCAACCTAAAGGGCAAAAAACTCAAAGAACAAGGAGAGAAAGGGGAGATTCTTCACCGTCAGCCCCCAAAGAGAACTGAGAAAGGTCCAGTTTCATATAGACAGCCTTCTTCCTGTCTTATCTCACAGATCCAGAACACCAAGGCTCTGCTGAAGGACCGGAAAGGCGCCAAGGCCGGGGGTCCCGAGAAAGGTCAGTGGGAGAAACACCCGTGGGGCGTCCCTTTGTGCGTGTTAATGAGTGTTAATGAGCCTGTCCTGTGTGTGGTTCATGTTTGTGAGTGAAAATGGGCTTGCATTGCTGTCGGCTCAGGAGCTGGCGTGGGAAAGGACCGGATAATGTGGAGTGAAACGTCCTGAAGGGTGCTCAGCAGTCATGAGCCCTCATTTTTACTTCTCCTCGTGTTTGACAGAGTTCCTGCAGTGCTTTCAGAAAAAAAAAAAAAAAAAAAAAAGCTTTCTTTCTTTCCCTATTTACACAAAATCATCTGCACTCAACGCTGGTGTTTTGAAAGCATCAACACCCACCCCAGATCACTGACAAACCAGAGCTGGTAGACAAGCTTCTTCCTACCCAGGGAATGTGTTTTCCTGAGAGGGGGCTGAGGAGCAGCACGGGAGAATCCCTGACCCTGAGGATGTGCCGGTAGCAGTGGCATCCCTGGGAGGAGCAGTTGGGCAGCAGCTGATGGTGGAGAAAGGGGAAAGGCAGGTGGGGACTGGCAAGCTCAGCACATTTCAGGCAGCAAAGGGAGGGGGAAAAAACAAACGTGAGCAGGGAAAGGAAAAGATGTGACAGCCAGAGGAGACCATTAATCACACAGGGTGGGAGGGATGGGTGGGAGCTCCTGGCAAAAGGAGGTGGGAGAAGGGAGTAGAGGGAAAGGGGAGTGTTGGTAGTGCACACGTGGAGGGGAGACCTTGGGGAGCAGGAAGGGGATGTAGCTGGTTGTTAAATAAGGAACCAAATAAGGGGTGATCACTACAGAGCAGTGTGGGGAAGTAGAGTGATGTAAAGCAGAGCTGGTCAGAAATGGGATATACTTCCTGTGAAAAATGTTAAAAAAACCCCACACTTAAAAATGCCCATTTTGCTCCCATTTGTTGTCCCTTTTGGGAGGAAGGCACAGGGCGAAGTCAACTTATTAGGTTTTATTCCTCTTTAGGTTTCCCCCTGCTTTTTTGATCTGAAACCTGAAAATCATTCAGATCTCAGCTAAAGCATTTTTTTAATAGAAGCCATATTTTGACACATCTTAAATGAAGTGGTCAAATAATTTTGACCAGTTTTAGAAAGAAACTGGTCGGATTAACCTTTGTCTGATTTTTGCCAGACAACCCTGAGTGTGAGATTCCATCCTGATCATCCATTCAGGTCTCAACCCCTGATGAAACCCTCCCTTCACAAGGGATATATGTGAGACTTGTGGCTGTGACCTGAGGGCTGGCAGACCTGAATTATTTTAGATCCCTTTTAGGTGGTTTGAGGGAACTCATGGGCGGTGATTAACTGGTGGCTTAATTCAATTAGGGGGACCTGGCAATCAGGCTCCTTGGACAGCTTTCCATAAAGGCAGCAAAACGTGCTTGGCATAAGCCAGTGCCAGCATCCTGTAGGAACTGGGCAGATCTTCTCCACAAGCTGCTTTGTTTCACTGGGCCAAATCCTGCGAAGATTGTTCCGTTTATTTTCGGTCCTTGCTGGAGGAAGGTTCATGCTGAAGTCGATGCAGCAAATCTGTTCCAGCTATAACAGCCTGAGTCTGGCCAGTGCAGCTACTCCACGTTCACACGTGTGAAACCAAGAGCAGGTTCTGTTCCAAAATGCAAGGAAGGACACCAGGGATTAACTCAGTGTCTCTAGGTGTGGCAGTGAATACAGGACACAGATCCAGTAAGAGCCAGGCAAAGCTGTGCTGAGAGAAGGAGAAACGTGAGATTTATCAGGCGTGGCCCTAGATGATATGATTAATACAAACAGCTGAAGACACCTGTGGTTTTTCTTTTCAAGTCCTTGTCCCACTCAGTTTAAGCTCCCCTGCTGACTTTGAGGGATGATGAATTTCCCACGGAACAACAGCGTAAGTATCGAGGGAGAGTCAGGGAAGTGGGTTCTGAGTGTGTGTCCCTAAGTCAGGGAACGAGGTTCTGAAGTGTGTGTGTGTGTGTTCCCAAGAGCTTCTGGTGGCTGGTGCATGTCATGCCCCCTGTGCAGTGTGTCCCAGGGGATGTGGGACCTGCCTGCTGGGAGAAGGCAGTACTGGTGACTCCAACCCCGCTCTCCTGGTTCCCTCTCCGATTGCTTTGCAGACTCCAGCGGGGGGGTGAGCCCTTTCCACGAGCCCCTGGCGACCAAGGCAGGCTGCGTCACTTCCAGCTCCCTGGAGTACCTCGAGGTCCAGCAGCCGCCCCCCAGGACCCCTCGGCTCCTCAAGAGGCAGGAATCCCCCCCGCAGCAGGAGCCGGCCCGGAGCGGGGGCCGAGCCAAGGACTCCCCCCTCATCCTCAACATCGTGCACTCCTTCGAGTCGGTTGACAGAGACGACCAAATAGACCAGGTTTCCCCCTCTCACCAGTACAGGATTTTAGGCTCCCCGATGAATTTCCCCTACAAAAGCTCCAGTGAAAGGACACTGTCCCCGCTCTTCCCCCCGGGGAGCACGTCCCCCGTCCACCCCACCCAGGTGTCTTTCACCTACGAAGAGAAAGCGTATCCGGCGAAGGAAGAGGCCGTGTCCCCCACCCAGCTGGTGCCCAGCAACCCCCTGGGCAGCCCCAACTGCGTGAAAAGCAGGGGCAGGTTCCCCATGATGGGGATCGGACAGATGCTGAGGAAGAGGAGCCAGACGATGCAGTCGGCCGGCGAGAAGCCGCTGGAGGCCAGGATGCCTCAGCTGCAGCAGATGAGCCCCACCCAGATCTCCTTCAGCACAGCAGATGCTGTCAGCGGCCAGTGCTAGCCTGACACCCTGGGATTGATTTGCTCTGCTCTGCTCTGGGATCTCACCTTTTTTTCCACTTTAACCAAGAAGGGAAAGCCACGGGCATGTTACTGTCGCTGCGGATCAATCACACCTCAGTGCTCCAGCGCGGGAAACAGGAGGTTTGCTCGTGAGGGAGGCGTTGTCCTGCATATTGAAGTCGAAAGGGAAGGGCTCTGCTCGTGCTGTTAAGAAATATTAGCACCTGGCACCTGACTGTACAGCGAAACATGTCCTGGAAGGGCCAGGTGAACGTGTACTTTCACTGCTCTCACCTGGCGCTGCAGCGGGGCTGGGTGGAGGCGGCAAGGGTTTGGTTCCTCAAGGTGATGTGTGTGGTGCCAGGATCTGTGGTAAGACTGTCCCTGCTCCCCCTGCCTGTGCCACACAGGACGTGGCACTGCTCTAGGCATTGTTCACGGCGTGGGCAAGGGGAGAGACTCCAGACACTCTGTCCAAAGTCAGCCTGCTGAGCAGCACTGCCGAGGAGATGGCGGTGCTTTGAGCTTGAGTAAAAAGACACAAGTGATCCCAACGTTCAGAAAAAGTGGGAATGCTGGAAGTCAAAGCAGATTTTACTGTTGGTTACATGAAGCAGCTAAAAACCAGAATAATTTTTCTTCCCTAAAAAAAAAACCCCACTGATTTAATCCCATCCCTCGCAAGAAACGGGATTTTTTAAAAACAAGTGTGGAAATGCACCTCGCTGAAGGCCTGCTCCTTTCATGGGATGGGTCTGCAAGAAGATGCTTCAAGCAGAAATCCAGGTTGCAAAAGGCTGTGTTCAAACAACCCAGCCCACACCTGCACCGGCCCCTGTTACAGCAAGGCAGCTTTGGACGCACCTGGAGGCTTCTCTCAGAGGCTGCAGTGAATTAAAATGACTAATAAAGGACACAGGAACCCCTACCGAGGTTGTTTTATACTCCAGGATTGGTAATGCAGTGGTTACCAAAAACTGGGTGTTGTTATGAGCAGTGAAGATTAACTTCCTTAAGGGACACCATGTCCTGCATACTGGTCATGTTTTTCTAAGTAAACAATACATCTGAGAGGTTGACAACATTTTTTTTTTTTTTGGTTCTGTTTTTGTCTTCAACCCCATTTCCTATAAATTAGAATTTAAATTTTCATCTGTATTTTTGCAAACAGTTTTGTTGCCCCCCTTGGTTTGGTGTCCAGGCAAATGCTGAGAGTGGGACTTACCCCTTTTTGAGGTGTTTTCCTTCCAGTTTGATGAGGAAGATGTTCAGGGGCTGGGGCAGAGGCAGGGGAGGAAGTCCCCAGCAGAGCCCACAGCTGAGCACGTGTTCCTGGTTTGCAGCATAACACATTACACCAAAATCTGCATCCCAGTAGGATGAGAAAGACAGCCCTGAAATAATTTTTTTCGTTTTCACCTCGGAAAATGTTGTATTCTGTTTGTACAGAGCACCTGTGCGTCCCAGGGGTCCATTTTAGCTCTTCTCATTTAGAAATGTCAAAGCATTTTCATTTCCTTCGTGCTAAGAACACGTCTGTGCTGCAGAGGCAGCGAGCAGGGACCACTGAAATCAGGAATCACTGAAATCAGAGACCACTGAGATCAGGGATCACTGAAATCCCACCTTCTTTGTGTGCCAGACTCACGTACCTGAACAGATGGCAGATGCTGACTTGAATTACAAACTCAGGTTTATTTGGAACCCAATAAAAGGTTGGGGGGAGAGGCAGGAAAGAGACCTGTATTTTTTGTGAAAACCCAGTAAATATGTGTAAGAATCAGAATGAAAGCAAATTGTTAAATCTTCTATTATATTTATAGAGAATATATGAGTACTACACTGCTAAAACATAACCTTGTATCCAGTGTAGACAGTAGCTCTGTACAGTCCAACTGCAGTGACCACAGAAGGGACTTACTGAAATGCCACAGTGGAAATTCCAGGGGAGGGGAAAATTGTATTTGGTATCATTATTAAATACATGTACTTTTTGGACAAGATTGCCACGGACTGCTGACTCTGTTTGCCAGGTCACTGTGTAGCAAAGGATAATCTCAGCACAAAAAAAAACCCTCCAAGCCAGGTTGGAGGGGGCTTGGAGCAACCTGGTCCAGTGGAAGGTGTCCCTGCCCATGGCAGGAGGATGGAACTGGAGCTTTAAGGTCCCGAATTTCCAACCCAAACCACGTGTGATTCCATGAAAACAAGCAGCAGAAGGGTGAGGTGAGGAAGGAATTGGCAACACCTGTCCCTTCACCCATCAGGGTCCATCCTTTGCACCTGGGTGCTGCCCTCCCTCTGCAGCTTGTGCAGCCAGGCTGGGCATTATCCAAGCTCTGGGACCAGGGGGGAGGCTGGTAGGAGTGTCCAGCTCTTCCTGCCTTCAAGCAGAGATCCAAAAGGATGGCACTGACCTGCTCCTGAGTGCTGCCTCGCCTTGTCCAGATGTGAGGGAGGGAAGCTGTTCTTGTAAGTACCTTTTTTTTTTTTTTTTTTTCCCCTCTTTCTGCCTCCGTGCAAATCTGGCTCCAGAACAACTGATCCAGAGACCTCCACGATCAGCTGAGCTCTTTTTTGTGGCGTTTGGCACCGAGCCCATAGCGAACCTGTTCGGTAGAGCTGAAAATGCACCTTTGCACTTCAGACTGTGCATCAGGGAAGGAGAAGGGCTGAGCTTTGGGTGCGAGATGGAAGCACTTAAAAGAGGGTTTTTGCAAACTAACTGATCGCTGGGCAGCAGTTCAGGATCTGTAGTGGTAGAAGTGTTTTCGTTCAGTTGGTTTTTTTTTTTTTTTTTTTTTTTTTCCCCAGCTCTTCTGCCTGGAAAAACAGGTGTTGAATTTATTCAGCGAGAAATAATCGGCATCTGTTGTTAAAGGTGTTGGTCTTTGTGTCTTTGTGCTTCTCCTGTAAACGGGCTGCTGAATATTAACATTCCTGAGCGCGGAGGTTTACAAATCCTAAAAGTAAATAACAATTACTTTGGTGCTTTTGCACTTGACATCACTTGATCTTTGCAATAAAATCCCTCGGTGTGCAGCTGGAAACGGGCTGGGTCGGGTTTGCGGGAGACTTTTCAGTCCCCAGTGCACCAGGAAAGTGGTTTGTCAGCGAGTCCCTGGAAAAATGGGATGGAGGTTTTCCTACTTCTTTATTTGCTCCTTTGTAATGCGGCTTTAAACGTCACTGTTTGAAGCACCCCGAGCTCATTACGGGCTGTGCTTATCACAAAGTGGGCAGGAACTTCAGGGATGTTACTGCTGTGCGCAGGAGTTTGGCCTTTCCCTGTTTTTTTTTTAATCCTCCGTGGCCAGAAATGGTCAATTTTCTCTTTTGTATTCCCGGCCAACATCGGTGTGGGTTTCCCGCGGCATGTTTGCATTGCCTTAATTGCCTCTCTCGGAGATGGCTTGAGGATGTTTGTAGGGGAGGGAGGTGAAAACATCCGGAGTCTTTTCAATATTTAATCTCAAAAGAAGCCCGGAATATGCTGCTTTCTGTTGCTGAGGTACGGGCAATTGGCTGTTCATGGGAACAAAGGGCATCAGGGTAGAGCCTGGAGTGGGATTTGGAGTTTTCTGGAGCATCTGCCCGCTGATGCCAGGGCACTCAAAGCCCAAGAGAGGAGAAATGAGATGTTTATTGTTATTATATCTAGGCTTGTTTTAAAATTTTGGTTATTATCTAAGGACGGAATTACGGCATTTTTGACATACAGATTATAGATATATTTATTAATGTTTGTGTCAATAGAACTCTTCTTCCTGGACACGTAAAAATCCTCCAGTTCCTCCCGTCTCCTACAACCAGGAAGGGCAGGCTCAATCTAAAAGAAAGAAAGGTCGCCAGAGGCTTTATTTCCAAACAGCTTCCCCCTCGTGCTGTTTCTCTGAAGGACGGAATATTGTCCTGCGCTTGCAGCTGTGGGACAAACTGGGGTTTTCCCCCTCCCATCTCTGCCTGCCCCAGACGGCAGGAACCGGGCTTGGCTTTCTCTGAGGGTCACCACAGCGATTATTAACTCAGACAAACGAAACCGGGGAGAGGGGAAGACAAGGCCTTGGGGAGGGGCAGCTCTCCCACAGCTGGAGCCTCCCAAAACCACCCATGGACCACCCATCCCTTTCTTCTTGCGCTCGCCACCCTCCCCTGGGCTCTGCCTGACCCGCTCCTGCCCTCGGGGCTGTTTTTTTGCAACACTTCGCGAGGAGGGACTGAGCTGGGAAATAAGTGACTTATTTGCCGGGCTGGTTTTCGGCTGCCCTAAGCCCCCCACATGCTTTCCTGCATCAGGGAGGGTGGGGCGGGACTGCCTTTAGTCCTCCCCACCCGTCCAAGGTCCCGCAGAGCTGCACCCCCGGGTGCCCGTGGACAGGTATTTCAGTGTCTTTGTTCTGCCAAGGAGTTGCTGAAAAATGGAAGGGGGGCAATTATTCAGGGGGTTCCTTTTTACAGCCTTTCATTTCTCTTTTTCACCCCCACGGATGCGCCTGGATGTGATCCCCCTGTCCTCTCCCCGTGCCTGCGCTGTCCCGGGGTGCCTCAGGGTGCATTTATCCTGCTGCTGTTTCACACCCGTGCCTGGTGGGGGTTCGGCCCCTCCGAGGAGGTTGTCACTCCCCCTCTCCTCCCGGTCCGATGATGGGGCAGCGCTGCCTGTGTGAATTCAAGGAGCTGCCGGTGCTTTGGAGCAGTTTGATCTGGCAAATCCCCGTGGATGCTGCGAATCTTTCTTCTTCCTCAGAGCTGTGCTCTCTTTTCCGAGCAGGAAAAGGTGACACATTTAGGTCTGCTCGGCAGAAGGAAGCTCTGAACTGCCTACAGCAGGAGTGCAGTCCCCCCTCTGCCTGTGCTGAGGCACCAGGAGAGGACTTGCATGGCACAGATACGTGCCAGTCTCAGCTGCATGATGTGTTCCTGCGGGACTTGGCGTCTGACCCCTGCACCAGCCTGCCCACAGCCGTGGGCACAGCCGGGAGAGATGCTCGTGCTCCATCCTCTGAGTGAGGAGCTGGGCTGGCAGATGGCCTGGGGTTGGGACTAGAGCGTGTAACACAGCCTGTCTTTAAGTGTCAGCACAACGCTCCCTTCCCCGCCCCCAGCCCAGGTTTTTTTTTTCCTGATTTGTGATCCCACATTTCGTTCCCGACGGTGCCAGGGCTGGGAAGGACGTGCTGCTCCCACAGACCTGCCCTGGGACCCTGCAGACTTGCAGCTCCCTCTGATTTGCCTGGCACTGAGCTCAGCCCTGAGCCAGGGCTTTACACACGCAGTGCAGGGTGTTCTGTGAGATTAAATTAAACCCCTCCATTAGATGAAAGACAGGAGACCCTCCAAACAATCCAAATCTGAACATT